TATCATTATCTTTAAAAATTAACCATTAATAATTCAAACACTAAATTTATGAGGATTAATACATAAAATTATTACACATCCCATCGTACTTTAAAATTTGTACTTTAAAATTTTTACATTAAAACGATGTCTAAAAACAACAGAGGGAGTATATTGTAGTGATGAGGTACGAAATGATGGGTGCTTTTGTGTTGGCGGATGTATGAAAAAACGAATGACTGACATGCTTTTATGACATTCTAAAATGAATCAAAAACAATTTCACCAATTTGGGCTCTGATCCCTGCTCTCTTACGTCCCTCCCAATTTCCATTCCCATTATTAACCTTTTTTTGAATATTTTCTTTCGTATTTTGGGCCATTATATAATGTAATATATTATTATATTTAACTGTCCTACCTATCACCGGTCACCCTCAACCCCACCTTGTCTTTGCATTCACTCAACCTCACCAAGGAAGCTGTTTAGCTCGATTTATATAAGATGTTTTGATTTTATTTGAATTTTTTGGTTTTGTTTGATTAATTTTAAAAAATGTGGTACACTTAGTTGTTAGTACGATTTTTAGAAAATATTAAAATTAATATTTAAAATAATATGATTAAAGTTGATTTGATGTAAAAGTATGAAAAATATGATGTGAAGTGATGATTAGTTAAAATTATGAGAGTGAATGAATAATGAATAATAGTTGATGTAATGTGTAAAAATGATTGAGCGGTATATTTAATTACATTGATAATATTGAAGTTAGTGGACTTGAGTTAAAGTTGAGTTAGATTTGAGTTAAAATAAGTTATTGGTTAAATATAATTGATTTATTTTATTTTATTTTATTTTTTTTGAAAAAATTGGTATCCAAGCATGCAATGCACATCTCAAAACTTATTTCAATAAATCGAAATCGATTACATGGGTTAATTATGGGGAATGAAAGTTGCACCAAACCCCATGCATTATACGAAAAGTGCACATTTTCTCGTGTGTTTTAAAAATTGCGTGAAATTTTCTTATATTTTAATTAACCGATGTTTATTCTCTCTTGTTTCTTTTTTTTTTTAAC